TGAGGGGTAATCCACAGCGTGCGGCCTAAGTAACTGAATCAATCGTGAAGATATTATAATTGGGTTTGCACAAGAGGCCAGGATAAAAAAAGGTGCAGAAATCTCAGAGAGTTATCAGTTTGGACAAGATTACAGAGAAAGGAAAGGGTGAGACCGTGGAGAGATTTGAAAACAAGGGTCAAGACATTGACAACCCTAGGCCCCAGGCATTTTGACATACTGTCTTTTATTATTGAATTTCCACATAGTGTAGGAACACCACTGCAGCCTTCAAACGGTTAAACTATTAAGTAAACTGAAGGTTCTAAACATACCAGATTTATTAAAATTGCTCAGAAGTGCTGAAATGTACTGTAATATACACGATGTGATGAATAAGCCTGAATTTCCATTTGAAGATAAAATCTAATACCTTGTACTAGTCAAGTGATCAATATCTTACACTTGCTTAAGCCATAGTGCAATTTAAAAAAAGAGATCAATAAGAAGTGACTATTCTTTAATTTGTTTGGCAGGAAAAGACATGACAGTTGGTGAATTCACACATCTCAGTCCTTTAAAGTTGAGCCACCTCAATGTGTTTTATTACTTTGTAACTCATTTAATGCCATCCAGAATGAATATACTGGAACAGCTTTTCCTAAATCAAAGTTTTCATTTCAGTCAGCTCAGCAATCTTTGCTATTTTTAATGTATGGAGGCAAGAATTGCAAATTTGTGGCTTATTGGTATTGGAGTAGTTCTCCTGATAGTTTGTGGAATGTGCATGTGAGCATTGGGCACAGCAAGTAAAATCAATCCTGTAAGGAAGCATTGTGCTTAACTGTACAAGGATCTCCAACAACAGTCTCAATACTGGGCAGCCCTGACTTGATTTGAGATTTATTGTTAATGGTCTCAAATTATTTAAATCCATCCTGGATTTAAACTGCTTTGCCTGGGAAATACAACATATTCACTGAAGGCATCCCCTTCAGTGCCATTTTTACAAACCATTTCCCAGAGTTAGAATGCAAATTCTTAAAGGCAGGTTCTGTGGTTTGTATGAGCCACTATTCTTTTAAGTTCTTTCTTTTAAAGATCAATTTAGAGCTTTAATTTTCATGTTGCATTTTACTTTCTTCTTTCATATTTATTTAGAGGACAATTAAAATCAGCATTTTGATATAATAAATTTCCCTCTAGGAACTTCCCTCTTATAAAATAAGCCAGATATCCTCAGGAATGCAATGAGACACTTATTTGTGCATTCAAGCTTTTTTGTCCTGATGCATTTCCGTCCCTGAGAAACCATGTCTTCAGATGGGTTGCTGGACTTGAATGTATTTGTGCGCTTGTTTCTTCTGAAGTGCAGTCCTTGCAGATTCTCACATCGTCTGCATCAGATGCTTGTGATGTGAGAGATGCTTGTGCAACTCCAGGCAAGACACCACTGCTTCCCATTGTAAAATCAATCCAAAGGTGACCACTGACTATTATATACATTAATCGTTTGGTAGTAGGGTTCTTGAATAAAGAAATGTTTTGTTAAAGTTTTCATCTTGCATTTATCAGGACAATCCACAAGAATACCAAGTTGCAGGGAAAATATGACATGAGAAGGAAATGCTGATTGGTTGGCAAGTGGACTCTGATTGGTAGAGGCATTGTCATTGAGAATGCACCTGTTAATACTGATTGACAATTAACTGCTGAGCTTTGTTTAAATTTTAAACCAGGCAGGTTGACTCTGGTCAGGGTATTCCCCTGAGAAATGAATCAGAGAATGGCTGTCACCTATTTTGTTGCATTGGAGCAGGCACTGTGTATAGTACATGGTCATTCTGTCTGCAAAGAACATGGAAATGCATCTTTTCTCAGCAATGCTGAAGTTTTATGTATGTACCAAAGTATATAGAATTTCCAGCACTGGAACAAGCTATTCTTTCCAAAAGGCTTATTTTGATGTTTCTGCTCTTCACAAGTCTTCTTCGATTCTCCTTTATGTAACTCTACCGGCTTGGCTTAATATTTGGTGCAGTGGCAGTGTTCTCACCTCTGGACTAAGGATGCTTGGATTCAACTCCAGAGGTGTGTAGAAACATCGCTGAACAGGTTGATGAGAAAATATTGGTCCTAATATTGCTTCCTTTCTCGTGTGCTCGTCTAACTTCCACTTAAATACATTCACATTGATCAACTCAGTTCTAAGTTTAGGCAATTCCAATTTAAAATCATAATGCCATGGAGATTTGCAGCATGGAAGGAGGCCTTCAGCCCATCAAATCCATGCTGGTCAACAAGCATCTAGTCCCATTTCCAGCATGTGATCCCTAGCCTTGTACATACCATGGTGTTTCAGATTATTATCAAAATACTTCTTAAATATTGTGATGGTTCCTGCCTCTACTACCCTTCTGATCAGTGAGTTCCAGATACCCACCACCCTCTGAGTTAAAACAATTCTTCCCTAAATCCCCTCTAAACTTTCTGCCCTTTATTTTAAATCTACTTGCCATAGTTATTGATCCCTCAGCTAAGGGGTAAAGTTCCTTCCCATCTACCCTATCTATCAATTTCCCAGCACCCTTTCAAAGAATATGAATATTTGGAATTTTAGCCATATTATTTTTAGGGAATTGTATTCATGTCCAGCTGAACAACTGACTGCTTTCCATTTCAGTCCCTGTAGGTCCAGCGTCAACAAATCTGAGGTCAGGCTTTGTATCTATTAATAATAAATGATTGGTGGGGGCATGGGATTCAGCATGTGTCTGAACATAAAAATACAAAATGTCAAAACAAGCCATTCAGCTCTTTGAGCCCACACCTTCCCACAATATCTCTTGATTTCCCGGATATCAAATATCTGTTGGTATTTGACTTTTATGCGTTCAGCAACTGAGCGTCTACAGTTTTCTGCAGTATATATTTTCAAAGGTGCAGAACCATTTAAATGAAAAAATTTCTTCTTATCTGAGAAGGAGTTGGAAGCAAGGGAACTTGGGGAAATAAATAGTGATGTCTTGAAAAGAGTTTATATGACAGAAGAGGAAATGCTGGAGGTCTTAAAATGCACAAAGGTAGATAAATCCTTGGGACTTGATCAGGTGTATACAAGAACTTTGTGGGAAGCTGGGGAAGTGATTGCTGGGCCCCTTGCTGAGATATTTTTATCATCGATAGCCACGGGTGAGGTGCTGGAAGACTGGCAAGTGGCTAATGTGGTGCCATTATTTAAGAAAGGTGGTAAGGAAAAGCCTGGGAACTATAGACCAGTGAGCCCGACATCACTGGTGGGTTGGTTAGTGGGGATTCTGATGGACGTGATTTACATGCATTTCGAAAGGCAAGGACTGATTAGGGATAGTCAATATGGCTTTGAGCATAATAAATTGTGTCTCACTAACTTGAATATGTCTTTTGAAGAGATGACAAAGAAGATTGATAAAGGCAGAGTGATAGACATTGTCAATATAAATTTCAGTAAGGCGTTCGACAAGGTTCCTCATGGTAGACTGGTTAGCAAGGTTAGATCACATGGAATACAGGAATGAAGAATTGTTTTAACTCAGAGGGTGGTGGGTATCTGGAACTCACCGATCGGAAGGGTGGTAGAGGCAGGAACCATCACGTGGAATACGGGGAGCTAACCAATTGGATACAAAATTGACTTGAAAGTAAGAGATGGAGGGTGGTGGTAGAGGGTTGTTTTTTGGACTGGAGGCTTTGTGACCAGTGGTATGCCACAAGGATCAGTGCTTGATCCAATGCTGTTCATCAATTATATAAGTGATTTGGATGTGAATACAAGAGACGTGGTTAGTAAGTTTGTGGATGACACCAAAATTGGTGATGTAGTGGACAGTGAAGAAAGTTATCTCAGAGTAAAACGGGACTTTGTTCAAATGGGCCAGTCAGCTGAGGAGTGGCAATTGGAGTTTAATTTAATAAATGTGAGGTGTTGCATTTTGGTAAGGCAAACCAGGGCAGGACCTATACAGTTAATGGTAGGGCTCTGGGGAGTGTTGCCGAACAAAGCGGCCTAAGGGTACAGGTACATAGTTCCTTGAAAGTGGAATCACAGGTTGACAGGGTGGTGAAGAAGACATTTGGCATGAGATAATAGGAACTGTAGATGCTGGAGAATCTGAGATAACGAGGTGTAGAGCTGGATGAACACAGCAGGCCAAGCAGCATCAGAGGAACTGAAGAAGAGTCTAGGCCCGAAACGTCAGCCTTCCTGCTCCTGTGATGCTGCTTGGCCTGCTGTGTTCATCCAGCTGTATACCTTGTTATCTAAGACATTTGGCATGCTTGTTTTCCTTGTTCAGTGCATTCAGTATTGGAGTTGGGACGCCATGTTGTGGCTGTACAGGACAATTGTGAGGTCAGTCTTAGAATACTGCATTCACTTCTGGTCTCCCTGTTATAGGAAAGATGTTGTTAAACGTGAAAATGCTCAGAAAATATGTACAAGGATTTTGCTGGGGTAGGAGGGTTTGAGCTAAAGGGAGAGGCTCCATAGGCTGGGACTATTTTCATTTGAGTGTAGGAGGCTGAGGATTGACATTAAAGAGGTTTATAAAATCATGAGGGGCATAGATAAGGTGAATCTATGGTATTTTTCCCAGTGTAGTGTAGGGGAGTCCAAAACTAGAAGGCATAGGTTTAAGGTGAGAGGGGAAAGATTTAAAAGGGACCTGAAGGGGAACTTCTTCATACAGAGGTGGTGCATGTATGGAATGAGCTGCCAGAAGAAGTGGTGGAGGCTGGTATAATTACAACATTTAAATGGCATCTGGATGGGTATATGAATAGGAAGGGTTTAGAGGGATATGGGCCAAATGCTCGCAAATCTGGTCAGTATGGACAAGTTGGACCGAGGGGTCTGTTCCTGTGGTTTACAACACTATGACTCTATATTATACTTTAAAAAATCCATATCTGTTAAATAAATGAATAAATAAATGTTATATGTTTAAAATAAATTAAATTTCTTTTTTCTTTCTCGCTTTTAGTGAGAGACAAAGAGCCTTGGAGCAGGAGGAACAGCCTTTAATTCACCCTCAGAGGACAAGCTATCCCCACTTCACAGGGGGAGGCTTCAATCTTAAACCACAAACCAAGGTCTCAGCTTGAATATTCACTGCGCAGCATTCTCCATCTGCCGCTGATCCCTTTACATCAAACAAGATTTTTATTTCACTTATTATTGTAGAAACTGTTGAACTCAGCCAAGAATAACAGAGTGGAACAATATGATTTTCATGCTGCTTAATTTTATTTTGGCATTTCAAATGCCCCAGTTCAGCCAAGATAATGAACTTTGTTGAAAAACATTTTATGAAATATTGATTTTTTTTCCTTGATTTCATTATATTGAATATAAAAATACTTGTGTTGCACTTTAACACATTTTCATGTCAATACATGAATGTTGTTGAATAAAAACCGTCTGCTTTATACTCAAATTTCTTTGTTACTAAACATATTAAATGAATCACCAAAATAGCAGTTCTGCACAAATGTGAAACAAGTATGATGAAAAGTGAGGGAACTTCAGACAGGAAGCCGAGGCGAGTTTTCTCGTTCATTGGATGTGAGCAGTCTACGGTGGGTGGAAGAGCAATAGACATTTGGGAGTGAGAATTGTAGATGCATACGGATGTAATTTCTGAGGAGTGGCATTGCACCCAGTTCCCTTGTCATGCAGAATTATTTGGGGAAGGCAAACCACATCCCCTTTAACAGCAGTCCGCTGCTGTATTCTGAAATTTAAAAGTCCCCACAACATCTACTGTCAAACCATAAGTCTGTAAGGCAACTGTGTTGTTTGGGGGCTGGGTGGGGAGGATGCCATGTGGGGCGGGGTTCAATGCCAAGTTACTAGGGTGCCAGTGTGAAGTTGGCAAGGGGACCAGGCATGCGTATGCAGTGTTTAAAAGAAGGTTGAGGTGGGTGGGAGAAATCAGGTCTGGCAGGGGACAGGGAGGGTGGGTGTTGGGTTAGGCGTCCTCTGATGTGGCAGTGAGAGGGACTGGATGGGGCTGTAGAGATGTAAGGGTGCCTGGGGATTGAGTGGGAGAAGATGGGTTGGGTCTTGTTGGGGGAGAGGTGTTGGGTCAAGAGTCTGAGGGTTGTAAGTCCTAGTTCTTCTTTAATTCTCTCGTGTGACATTGGTGTCACTGCTGACCATTTATTTGCCTGTCCCCAGTTGCCCTTGAGAAAGTGGTGGTGAGCTGCCTTCTTGAACCACTGCAGTCCACGTGCTGTAGGTAGAACCACAATGTCCCTAGGGAAAGAATTCCAGGATTTTGACCCAGTGACAGCGAAGGAACGATGATATGTTTCCAAGTCAGAATGGTGAATGGCTCGGAGGGGAACTTGCAGGTGGTGGTGTTCCCATGTATCTGCTGCCTTTGTCCTTCTCAATGGAAGTGGTCGCGGGTTTGGATGGTGTTGCGTAAAGGTCTTTGGAGAATTTCTGCAGTGCATCTTGTAGGTAGTGCACACAGCTGCTACTGAGCATCAGTGGTGGAGGGAGTCGATGCTTGTGGATGTGGCAGAATATAGTGGGCTGTTTTGTTGGAGTTCTGAGGTAAGTGTGGGGTCAATTGAATAGTTACTCAGGAGTTAAAAGATGCATTTAATAGTCTAACATTTCCTGATAACAATTTTACACAATTTCATTGGAACCCTCTGGATTCTCAGATTTATATGGAGACTTTCAGATGGTTACAAGCGTGGAGGAATTGTCTAGTGGAATCTTAATTCACAAGGCAATTCCTTCAGAGTCTGCTACAATGGGGATTCAGCAGGGTTCTCATACACAACTCCCATCTACATTGGAATGGGCGACAGCCTGACTATCTGGAAAACCGGGGCCATTGTTGCTCTCTGATATCCTCCTCAACACATCCGAAAGTGATCATCTGTCACATGGACGTAGTGAGGATGTTTCCTCATATGGGGCAATCTAGATTGAGAATTCAAAGTTCCGGGATAAGGGGTAGCAGATTTAAAACAGAGATGAGGAATTCTCTCAAAGGAGCGTGAATCTGTGGAACTCATTGATGGTGGAGTTTAGGTCAAGATGAGATCAGCCATGACTGTATGAAAAGTGGAGCAGACTGGAGGAGCTCAATTGCTTATCCTGCTCCTATTTCTTACATTCACCGATCAACCACGTAACTTGCACACTTCATTCAGGAATCACTAGAGAGCAGGTCCATTAGGTTCCCAATCCTGGAGATGACCCCAACTCCGTCGTAACTCCCTGGATGTTGAGTCATTGAGAACTGCCCAATTGTTGTCACATGTCAAGATCAACCAACTCATTCGTTGACTGGGAATTGGGAATTTTTTTTTGTTTTACAAATCTAGAACTGGGAATATTACACACCTGTAGCTATAGTTATGCATCTGTGGCACTTTATATGTGCTGATAAAATGTTAAACCTTCTGTAGGGGAAAAAATTGCTTCTCCAGCCTCTGAGTATCTTAGTTTAAAAAAAAATTATGTGCTGCAGAATTTATCTGCACTCAGGAGAGATGGAAATGGTTTTTAAATGGCTTGCATGAAGCTGGTCTCACACCTGAATAAATCAGTACATTACTGCAAATGAATTCGAGCAGAAAATGCACATAAAATAAATAATTCCACTCAAAGCTCCTCACCGCTCTGTTTTAAAGGTACACAGATGTCTTTTTGATAGAAGGTTAAATACTTTCCTACTGTGGCTGTACCTGCAACATGTGGACTGTAGGAGTTTGAGAAGATAGCTCAACACCAACTTTCAAGGGATGGGCAACATCTGCATTCCATGAATGTTTTAACAGGAAACAAAATGTGTTGTGTAATACAAAAGCCAGCTTTCCTTCCAGCCTGGTACAGACAAATTTATGGCAGGACATCAGAAGGGAAATTTCCAAGTTTTTTTTTTGGCACACCTTTCTTGTTGTTGACAAATGTCTCTCTGAGACTGAGGAGTTCTTGTGCTAATAGGAAAGGCAATCTATCCTTTAATTTATATTATTCCTCCCTGTTAATTTGCGTCTGACCCATATCGTCCTGTATACGTTCCAGCACAAGTTCACTTCAGCCTGAAAAGCTCCATCCCACCAAAAGACCATCCCAGTGCTTCTCTAAAGCTGGCATTGGTGTCCCAGAGCTATAAAACATGGCACCTCCTTGATTCCATTGCCAAGGTTCTTTAGAAGGTTCCCTTTATTCAAATGACAGAAAATGTAGCTTTAGAACAGACACTAATTGTGGACTGAATAACCTGAAGATATGAAGCCGTTACAAAGTGAAGATTACCAGAGAAACAAATAAGTGATTGAAAGGAGACGTCACAGGGGTTGCAATCCATGTGTTAAGGGGGCAAGCAGATGGTCTGCAAACTTAGCAAGGCCCCATGTTAGAAGCACATTTGGAACCATCTCATGATGAAGCTGAGAACTGGGGAATTGGTACAGGCAGTCCCTGGGTGGTGGCTGGTTTCCATTCTGGAGTCTGTTTGCAAGTCAATTTATACGCAAATCCGAACACAATACGGGCAATGTCCAGCAGCCATTGGAAATGTTTCTATGCCATGTCTTTAAAATTGCAATCCTTTATGGGATTGCATTTATAAGTTGGATGTTCGTAAATCATGTACACGTACTGTGGCTATTTTTCTGCATGTACTTTACTCCTATGCAGTTCCAAATTCATGGTGCTGTCTTTATTAATATTCCATAGGCAGGGCCCTAAAGCAGGCATTAGGCCTTTTAAGTATGGAAAATAGGAGATTAGGGGCCATGCTGGACCTTGTCTTGGGAATGAGCTTGGCCAGGTGATTGAAGTTTCAGTGGGAGACTGTTTTGGAAACGGATCATAATTCGGTAAGTTTTAAGATAATTGTGGATAAGATTGAATCTGGTCCTCAGGTGAAATTGCTAAACCTGGGGCAGGCTAATTACAAGAGAATCAGGCAAGAACTGGACAAATTTGATTGGGGGTGGCTTTTTGAGGGAAAATCCACATCTGCCATGTTGGAGTCATTTAAAGGCTAGTTGCTTCGAGTTCAAGACCAGCATGTTCCTGGTAGGATGAAAGATTTGGGAACCTTAGATGAAGAGAGATATTGAACGATTAGTCAGAAAGAAAAAGGAAGCATATTTAAGGTTTAGAAAATCAGACAAGGCTCTTGAGGAATGTAAAGGAAGCAGGAAAGAAGGAATTGGGTGTGCTAAAAGAGATTATGAAATGTAGGATTAAGGAGAATCCCAAGGCATTTTAAATATGTAGATTAGAAGCAAGAGGGTAGCTAGGGAAAGGGAAGGATTACTCAAGGACAAAGGAGGGAATTTATGCATGGAGCCAGAAGAGGTGGTTGAGGTTCTTAATGGGTACTTTGTATTGGTATGACATGGATGATGGTAAGATTAAGGAGGGGCATGTTGATATTCCAGGGTATGTCGATATTAAGAAGGAAGGGGTGTTTGGTGTCTTAAAAAAAAATGAGGTCGCTAAGTCCCTAGGGCCTGATGGAGGCTGAAGGAGGCAAGAGAGGAGATTTCTGGGTCTTTACAGAGATCTTTGTGTCCTCTTTAGCCACAGGTGAGGTCGCTGAAGATTGGGAAATAGCCAATGTTGTTCTTTTGTAACAGAGATAATCCAGGAAACTACAGACTGGTGGGCCTTACATCAATTGTAGGGAAATAATTGGAGAAGATTCTTGGGTACAGGATTTACTTGCATTTGGAGAAAAAAATGGACATTTTAGGGATAGTCTGCATGGTTTTATGCAGGGAAGAACTTATCTCTCAAATTTGTTTGATTTTTTTGAGGAGGTGATGAAGACGATTGATGTGAGTGAGGCAGTGGCTGTTGTTTACATAGGTTTTACTAAAGCATTTGACAAGATCCCTCATAGTAGGCTGGTCCAGAAGATTACTTCAAATGGGATCCATGGTGACTTGGTAAGTTGGATACAAAAATGGCTTGGTCAAAGGAGACAGAAAGTAGATGTGGAGGGGTGTTTTTCTAACTGGAGGTCTGTGACCAATGATATTTCGCAAGGATCGGTTCTAGGACCTCTATCGTTTGTAATATATGTAAATTATTTGGATGAAAATGTAGGTGAACTGATTAGTAAGTTTGTAGACAGTACAAAAATTGGTGGAGTTCTGGATAGTGAGGAACATTGTTAAGGGATACAGCAGGATATAGATCAGTTGGAAAATTAGGCAGAGAAATGGGGAAGATGGAGTTTAATCCAGACAAGTATGGAGATGCATTTTGGGAGCTCAAATGCAAGAGGAAA